TTCTCTGGGAAGTGTTCTGATTCTGTGCTGTGTTGATCTGGTGGAGCCGGCACACAAGTACAGAACGTCTGGATCGGCTCTGATCCTGATCAGTGTTACCCAGCAGGCAATGCAGAGTTTACATGGAGCTGATGGGTGAGGGGACTCGCCTAATTCTGCAGTAGCCTTACCAGCCACACCTGTTCCAGCAGCTCCCCTCTAGAACAGGTCACCTCAAACGGGCTCTTACTTTTAAAAGGCTGGAATAACCTGTAAGAGCTATTCATACTAATGTTTCACAAAGGGTTAAAAGGTGAATGTGCACAATTTAGGCTTTAATTGCAAGATGTTTTATTAAGAGAGGAAAGCAAAAGCAGAAATAAATAATAATCAAACAGAATCAAATCAGCTGAGGTTTACTTATCTACTCCGAGCTAATGCTGACTTTGTTCTGATCTTTGTGAGCAGAATGGTTGGACAGAGTGCATTTCTCTTTGTGTTACATGCTCTGGGTGGAAATCTAAATTTCCTTAATTTTGTAACCAAACATGGCAAAAATGAGAAGATAACACCCCAAAATACAAAGTCATCAGGTTCAGTTTGGACAACAGTTGATCCCTCTGCTGTCTCTTCTTCCTCAGCTGTGAACATCTTGGGTCCAGTCTTCTGAACTGCTCGTCTCGGAGAAGGCGGCGAGAGATACGGGGAAGAACCCTGTATCTCTTCTTCACTGTATATCTGAACATTGAGTCATGTATGAACTTGAACTTCAGGTTTCGTTCAGTTTATCTAATCTCTCTTCAATTAAATCATCAGGTCATTCTCACATTTAATGTAATCAATATTTTCCAATTATATATATGAATATGTTCTTCTTTCTCTTTAAAACTCTGTTTGTCAGTCACATTTTACTTAAAGCAAATTCTTTTTACAAAATCGCACATTTTTTAAAGTAAAAAATTCTTTAGATTAGTGGCTACTCAGTGTCTGTCACTTCCTCCTCCTGCTCCCAACTATCCAGAGTTGGGA